ATATATATATATATATATATATATATATCATGTGCATTTTAGCTTACATTACTACTTGAAATACTTCCATCCATCCATTATCTTTACCCGCTTCTTCCATTTTGGGTCACGGGGGTCGCCGGTGCCCATGTCCAGCAATCACTGTGCGAGGGGCGGGGGACACCCTGGACAGGTCTCCAGTCCATCACAGGGACACATAGAGACAAACGAGACAAACAACCATTCAGTCTCTCACTCACACCTAGGGACAATTTAGAGTTACCAATCAGTCTAACATGCATGTTTTTGGTCTGTGGGAGGAAATAGAAGTACCTGGAGAAAACCCACGCATGCACGGAGAGAAAATGCAAACTCTACCCAGAAAGGCCCATGGACCAGGGTTTGAACCAGGAACCTGCTCGCTGAGAGGCAGCAGCTCTACCAGTTGCGCCACCGTGCTGCCACTTGAAATACTTATTCATTCAAACTCATCCTGCTGCACCATTATAGTCTACCATGTTGTTGTTGTTGTTTACTATCTCTCTTTAGGACATTGTAAATATTACAATTACTTTTTCACCTTTTGGTACGTTGTTTTTCATGTGTACCCTTATCGCATGCTTTTAGTATTTCTCGTTTGTTCTTTGATTTTTTTTAGCGAGTCAAATCGGTTCTTGTCATCCTGAGCATTTCATTGTACTGTTAACCTTGGACAAATAAACTCAGCTTGAACTTGAACTTGTGTTGGTTGAAAAGTGATTCCTCCCAACGATCAGTCAAAACTGATTTATAATAGTGAAATGTATCATTTTAAATTTAGGTGCTTTCTTTGATGATAAAATCGCGACTGTCTCTTGTTGAAGGAAAAGTCTGCCACCGCGACTCGTGGAAGCAGACTGCCTGTCAAATACAGTCATTTAGATTTGGAAGGTGAAACAAATAGTTTTGATCCAAACACTAAGTCCATCAACTAATTTGAGCAGCAGACAGTGTCTGATTTCAAGGAAAAACCAAATTAACTAAATTCTTCTGTGTACTTTTCAAACATATGTGTGACAGTTCTGTTTATGCGTCTGAATAAACTCTCTTGCATTTATTGTGTCTTTTTTAACCCGCTTGTGTCTGCAGCCTTTTTGACAGCTTGTGCTAAAGGTCCATCTTGTAACCACAATTTAGATTCATTAGGCAAAGACTGACAGTAAATACAGCCTGGGAATGATCAGAGTAAAGGAAATCAATGCAGCAGAGTGTTTGTTCTGTGTGCAGCCCATTTCACCAGTGAATTTGCCCACATTAGAGTGAATCCTCTTTTAGAGACGATGGGTGAGGCAGGAGGGAGGCTGAGTGAGGGACATGTTTGCAGGGGAAAGGGTTTTAATCTGGATGCATTTATAGGCTGTCACAAACACATGGCTCAGTAGCTCACGTGGTCAGGCACATCTGGCCACAGCAGCGTCCCAGTATGGGGAAGTTTACACTAATTGGAGACTTTATATTTCTATGGACGCATCTCTGCATTTTTTAACATCATCCCTTTATCTTGATCTGGAATTATCTCCCTACTGCAAAACAACAGCCATAAAGAACCTCCTTTAAATAAAACTTCAGTGACAAAAAAAAAAAAAAAAAAAAAAACATTATCAAAATACCAGATTAGGGATGATGGGAATTCACTTTAAACAACAACAACAAAGATATGTTTTAGTGAAAACTGTGCAAAAAAGTCACATTTTAAGCAAATCGTCTCATAAAAGAGATTTGTATTTTCTTGTGGGGCTGTTGGTGTTTTATTCTTGTAAGGAACAGAAGTTGGAGGGAATCGGCACCAAAACAAACACGCGCTGTCCTCCACAGCAGCCTGCTTGATGAGGACAAGGAGGAAGAGGAGGATGCTGATGATAAGGGAGTCAGGAGGATGAGGAGGAAGAGGAGGAAAGTTGAGTCTTACCTTATGATGGCCGTGTCGCCCTGGCGGATGGTGATGTTGTCCGTAGCCCGCTGCATATCCACACTCCGGACTGGAAATCCTGTGGGCAGAAGACAGAGCAGTCTGAAAAAAGAAGCCTGCAACTGCCTCCAACACGATTTGCGTCCAGCTTGCATTTTTGAATTAAAAAAAAAAAAAAAAATCAAAAAGTAAATTAAAAATAAAAGAAGCGCAGAGAAGCGCGCGTCTCCGCAGCTACTTATAAATCCAAATGGTGAGTAGAAAAAATTAATAAATAAAATCAAAAGGAGCAGAAGTAGTCCAGACTTCCAGTAAACGCGCAGCACTGATTAAGCTGCTGCCTGAAACACTTTTCTTTGGGCCAAGAAAGTGCGGAGTGCTCGCTCTGTGGTGCGTAATGTTCTCTGCGTAAAGGCACGTCAGAGCCAGCAGCTGCAGCCGAGAAAACAACTCCCCCCACCTCCTCCTCCTCATCCTCCCTGCTACTCTCTGCCACGCGCGCGCCCTCTCTCAGATTATCCTGCAACTCGGATGTGAAGCTCCTCTCATTGGTTGTCAGGACAACAGCACCACCTGAGGTCCCTTTGAGTGAGACACACTTTGGGACTGAGGAAGAATGTCCAAAAAGGAGGAGGTAAAATATACAGAAAACATTTAAAAATATATCTTATCAATCTTTATGGGAAAATACTGCATGACTGGAATGCAGCAAAACACACATGGATACACCATGAAACTTTGATATTATCTGATGTCCCTCGTTGTTGCTGAGAGGGACTTAAATAGTGAATGAGACACATGTTTATAGACTGGAATTAAACAGTGAATGTAAGTAAACCCTAATGTTTCTGATGCAAGATATTCAAATGCGTGGGAGTGACACTGTGGGAAAGAAAAGAGGGAGATTTTATTTTCTAATTTACTATTATTTTTATTTTTGTTTATTGATTTGCTTGTTTTTGTTTGTTCAAGGCAGTGCAGAGTTGTCGACCCTGGGGAGTGAAGGGAGCAATTTTATTCACCACAAGGTGCAATAATGGAGCCGGGGGTGGCCAATAGTGGTCATGGCCACCTTAAGCTAATGTTTAGCCACCCCCAATTATTTAAGCAACTAGATGTTTAGGCAAAATGAAAACTAAAAAGCATCTTCTTCTCAAATGTTAGGAATGGTGTAATGAGTATATTGTTTTAGGTAATGAGAGTGCTAATAGTGACCTTGAATTAATCTTAATATTAACTGGGCTAGTTATCAGAAAATATAGGTAAGAGTCCATCAAAGGGGGGATTAAGAATAAACACAGAACCACAGAGACTGAATTTATATTCAATAGGCACCATATATTGAATTTGTGCAACAACGCCAATAATCTTAAATATACAATGGCCATTCAATTTTATAAATATATACAGTGAAATATGAAACAATAACAACAAACAAAACAAGCAATGTAATACATTAACCGTTTCTTTGTTGTGCAAATTATTAATTCACAATGACTCCAAGGTTTCATTGTTCGACACAGCCTCACAATAAATAGTCCTTAGAGGTTAAAGTTTAATAGTCCACGTCGAACAAAGGGTGATGTCGTCGAGATTTTGGGAACCCATGGGCCAGAAATATTAAGGTTTAAACAGTCCGAAAGCGAGAGGAAAAATAGAGTTCAAACTGGCTGCAGAAGCCTCCTACCACCCTGGACAGATGAATTCCACCAGACTGAGAATGAATGATCTGAATCCTTAGAGGCAAGATGACCCTTTGGTCTAGGTTCTAGCTTTTTTTTTTTCTGTAGCTTGCCTTCATCAATTTAAAACCTGCCAGTTCCACTTCAAAGGTAAATACAAACTCCTCTCGCCTCTCAGAGGTCTGTGATAGTTGGCTCCTGCAGTAACTTCTCCCCATACTTCCCTATGCTCTTACCACAATTGTTTGCTTGGCAGGTTATACAGCCACTGATTGGTTCAGTGTGGTCATGTGTCTCAATGGCGGTGCACTCACGAGAATGAATAATAATGCAAGAGAAAATGCATGAAGTGCATACTACGGGGAGAAAGAATGATTTTTCTACCTGGGTTACAATGGGCAGTTCACATTAGTCTATGGTGGCCATCTTTGAGTTTGAGTTATTGTTAATAGTGACTTTTTTTTACACGTAGATGCAGCCACAGACCAAAATGTAAGTTGGTACCTTATATATTTTTTTAAGTTATCATGTTCACAACATGCACAGATTGACAGAAGGAGGGGGGTTCCAAACCCCTGTCTTTGCTCGTGACCGGGAAAAATAAATAAAGAGATCAGTGATTATGTTTAAAACTGTAATCAGTCACACAAAAATACAAACTGAAAGCAGTTATGACAAATTGGATCCTTTGATGTTTCCGCATTAAAACCTTTGAGAACCACTGATGAAGAACATTATACTGTATATTTCTAAATAAATGTTGCATTATTTCTTTTTGAAAGAGCATATGAAAAGAAATTAACACTTACATTTTGATGAGTAAAAAAAAAACCTTTTGATCTTGATAAAGCTCAATATCTTCTACAGACATAACCTTGAAATTTTAGCTTAGTAAATATTCTTCTCCACATTTATAACAAACACAAGTTTTACAAATGTCTGCTATTCATTTCTACAGAGGTGTGAACTCAGGATGAGTCTGATTTCATCACTTGTCTATTATTTAAAAATGTTTTGGGAATAATGTTCAGCCAGGTCAACCTGACCTGACTGAACATTATTGGATTTTATACCTGGATTATTCAGCATGAACTTTGGTGTTGTGAGAACACATTTAGTGTCATTTTCACTCTGATCAGCATGACTGGAAGAATTATTACCCAATCCAAGCCTGTACTCTGAGTTTTAACAGGATTTACAGAAAGATTTTTGAAGCTTTTGCATGTTATACTAATTTGCACATATGATGGTGAATTTTCAGAATAGATACATCAATAGTAAAAAATTACAGTGCACTTACACAATTTAGAGGCAACCACATACTCAATGAGGCCCAATTTCATTTTGAAATGTGATAAACCATGCCCACTTTACTTGTGATATATATTACTTTTTAGATAAGAGCTCAGGGCATTCCTAAAGGTGTGTACCAGTCTTTATAAAAAGCTGATTTGTCATCATTGCAAGACTTTTTTCATGTTATAGCGCCTCCTACATGCCAATGTTTATCAAATTTAGTTCAGTAGCTTACAATGAACTCCCCTAATCACAGTTTTTAGTTCTTTATCATGAATATTATAGTTGAGGAGATAGCACAAAATTTGTCTTTAGCTAGCTTGCCAAAACTTTTTGCCCATGCACATTTTCAGGTTTTAAAATAAAAAATCTTGGAAACGTTTGATCCATACTGAATTTAGATTTTAGATAGGGGATTTTATTGTGATCAAACATAAGACTTTTGAAAATTAGTTCAAAGTAGGTTTCTCAAATGTTGCAATACCCCCCCCCCCCCCCCCCCCCCCACCCCAAAACAAATTTTTAGCCGTAGAAGGGCGTGGCCTTTACACCGTGACTCAGTACAATCCAGGAAATGTAGCATTATAAAACATTAAAATGTGTGACTATTGTAGAAGTTATAGGAATAAATTAAATTATGCAATTATAGCGCCCCCTATATGTGGACATGTCCTATTACTTTTCTGTGTCACACATGCAGGCCATAGATACTATTAATACAATATACTTATACTACTTGCAGTTTGGGTTGCAGTATGACTTATTTACAGAAGAAAGATTAAAATAATTAAAAAAAATACAGATTCTTTACAGTTCCATGCTCCTCTAGATGTATGGAAACGCTGCTATGATAAAATAATAAAATCCTATAGTTTGGGTCGGCTTGGGTTTCCTGAGCTACTGTATCCCTTAGTTATGCTGCTGCTATAGGTTTGGACCAATGGAGGACAAATTACCACACTTCCTCACTCTGGTGCTGTCTTTAGTTGTTCTACTCTGTATTTGAAATTATCCATCCATCCATTATCTTTACCCGTTTATTCCATTTTGGGTCACGGGGGTCGCTGGTGCCCATGTCCAGCAATCACTGTGCGAGGGGCGGGGTACACCCTGGACGGGTCGCAAGTCCATCACAGGGCCACATAGAGACAAACGAGACAAACAACCATTCACACCTAGGGACAATTTAGAGTTACCAATCAGACTAACATGCATGTTTTTGGTCTGTGGGAGGAAACCGGAGTGCCCGGAGAAAACCCACGCATGCACGGAGAGAACATGCAAACTCCACCCAGAAGGCTCCTGGACTGGGGTTTGAACCAGGGACCTGCTCGCTGAGAGGCAGCATTGTATCTTAAAATGTGTTTCTTTTTCTTTCTCCCAATTGGGGGTACATCTGGACCTGCCATTCTGTGTTTGTCTAGTTCTCCTTCCTGTTCCTCTCAAACCCAGCCGGTCAAAGTGGATGACCACTCATCCCAAGCCTGGTTCTACTGGAGGTTTCTTCCTGTTAAAAGATAATTTTTCTTTTCCACTCTTGCCATTGTGCTTGCTCAGGATGGGAAACTGTGACAAAGTGAAGATTCAACACAACCTGATGGCTTCCTTAGATAGAGAACTTTTACTAATTGGCGTTTTTATGTACATTAATGTTTCTGTTCAGTGCCCTGAGGTGACTTCTGTTGTGACTTGGCACTATATAAATAAACTGAATTGAATTGAATCGCTGCATTGGCGCTGCATTCCCCTGCCTACACTGGCCTCCAGTGTTGCCAGGTCTTGCGATAGAAACAAATAACCAGCTCTATGAAAACAAGCCTAAAACAAGCCCAACTGGCAACCCACCACATTGTGTAAAACAGAGACCGTTTTTAAACAAAATATACAAACATATTATGGCATTACACATAAACAACAGCAAAATTATGCTAAACACTTTGAATAACATATTTTTTAAGGTCTGATAAAAATACATTTTGCATATGTATTTTTTTCTACATATATTTAAAAACAAAACATCATGACATCTGTGTGTGAGTGAAGCCCCTTAGTGGTCGGCTACAGTATGAGTATTTGAGGATGAGCATTTAAGGTGTGCGCCCACAGACATATTTGTATGTACGTCTGTGTGTGCGCCTGTCACCTCGCCAACTTGGGTGGGAGCAATAAACAGGCAACAGGGGCGTGGAAGGGACAAACTACCTACTACCACTCGTCTTTTGCGTTATTGTGCTGAGCTGGTAGATAATCAACTAGT